TGTTGTTGTATGGAAGTAAGTTTTGTCAGATCTTTAAGCATCTGTTAAAAGGCGTGGCTCACCCCGACACCCTATCAAAGCTTAGGGAATTGAAAGAAGCCAAGGTCCCTCCGATATCATATGGTAACATTTGGTCTGAACAATGATTTGGATGACTTTGCTAGCCTCCAATCTAATCCCAGTTTCTGGTATGCAAATCTGGCAGAGGTTGCAACCGTGTTCAAATTCTCTGTTGCATGCGATATTGAAGTGGAAAAAAACTTTTGACTGTAATAGCTTTGCTGTTGCTTTTCTAGAGAGTGACCACATCTAGGTACTGAGAGCACACTTGCGCTCAGTTTGTTTTCATTTTTTTTTATCGGAGCTAAAATCGCTAAAGCAGATTAATTTAAAACAATTATTAATCTGCTATACGTTGGTCATTTTGAACTCTGAAAACACTGTTGTTTCTAAAATTTAATGGACTGAATCAATGCAATTAATCTTAGACATTTTCCAAGTGTATGTCAGCACAGTTGAGGGCCTTGGATCTTGACTGTCCAGCGATTCCACTGAAAAAGGACAAACGGCTATGGATTCCATAATAACGGTATGGTTTTTACAGGTTTCAGAAAACATTAGATTCTCAGATTGCATTTATTCATGTTGAGAAGTAACCAGATAAAGGAAAGCCAACAATTTGTGTAGATAAAGAATCATTTACTCCAACAATTTCGCATTTTTGCTGAAAGCTGTGTTGAATGGCCAATGGATTTGCATATCCTTAAATCAGTAGAAATACATGAAGCTATACACTTGTATTAATTTTAAGGAGGACACAGTAACTGGTGGACAGAACTTTTGTACATGTTATATATAGTTCCTTTACAGCCTTGAGAAATCACAGTGGTCTTCAGATTGCTCAATGAAATCATAATTCAGCAATATATTCAGCCTTGAAAGTTATAGAACCATAGCATATGCCAGAGGAGGCTTCCAAGATCACGCGACAAAGAAAACGTCAGGAACCTTTTCATCTGTGTATTGTGCAAGTAATTAGTTTAGTCCCACATTGGGCAGCTTTGACAGGTGAACATGGAGCGAGGGCTATAAATACCGAACAGAAACTTGATTTAAAGCATACCTTTCTCGG